GACCTACAGACCATGTGGCTGGGAAATGGGGATAGAGAAGCAGGGTGTTAGGGGAGACTACAAGAGAGAAGGAAAGAGAGTAGGTGCTTCCTCATGGAGAGGGGAAGAGAGTCTCTATAGACCAATCAAATGTAACACACTCTCACTAGGCTCCCCCCCTTCTAATCTTCCTTCAGAATGGGGACATACAGAGTGACCTACTCGTAGACAGAATTAAGTAAACATGTGTGGAATCTGAGGCACACAGTATTGCACACTCACATTGGAACTGATCACATGGAAAATTAAAGGGATACAAAAAATACCCTTACAGTGTTAAGAGGGAGGGGGAGGGAGGACTTTGAGCCTTAATGAGTATTTGTTCTTCCGCTCCTACTGATAGGAGCCACTCACAGGGGACTTGAAGTGGGGATGGGGTAAAGAGAATGCTGAGCCTCTTGGGGTAAAGAGGAAGACAGTAGGTGCTGGAGGAGTGAGCCTGACCCCCTTCTGCATTCTCAGACCATCCCAGACTTGCTCCCTGGCCTTGGGCCATAAGCCACCTGTCTATTTTTATTGTATTATGTCTTCTTTCCATCCTATTCTTCATTCTTTCTCTCCTTCTCTTTTCCCCCCTGGTACCCATCCCCCACCTGACCTGCTACCCCAGCAATGGCTGCTTCCACCCCCCCCCCCCCCGGCAAGAACTTTGCAGAAGGAAGGAGGAGCTGGAGTCAGGGGAAGGCACTTGACCTTGTGACCCACTTTGGGACCTAGTATAGGAAGAGTTGAGGGCTGAGGAGGACACTAGTGGAGTGCTGCTTCAGTTCGGGTAGAATGTCTGGAGGAATATCCAGCATAAAAGGGAGACACAGAGACAGAGACTAAGAGAGACAAAGGAGGAGACCAAAGGGGAACGAAGCTGGGGGAGGCTGTGAGGTGGGGGGGGTAAGTGATGCTCAAGAGAAAACATTCAGATAGAGGCCCCAGAGGTAGACAAAAGGCAGAAGGGTGGGCAGTGGGAGGGGGCCTGGCGGAGGAGGAGGGACATTGGGAGGGGGTGGGGCATTAAGGGCCAGAGCAGATGGAAGGGATTTGCTTTGCTGAGCTGAGCTTTTCAGCCACTCAAAGAGGGGTGGGGGGCAGAGAAGGGGGTGTTCAGGGAAGTGGGAATCAGCAAGCCACCAAGGTGATGATCTTCTGTTTCTTCTCAATCCCTTCCCCACATGCAGCCTATAGGGAGGAGTTATCTAGAGTAAAACTTGGCACCTTTCCTGTCCCACATGAAGAGGCATTGGGGTGCTTTGTCACACCATACTAATGCCCTCCCTTCTTCCAGGGAGCTGCTTGAGGGTGGGGGCAAGGGGAGAACAGGACAGTGATAGAAAGGCAATTCACTATTTGGTGAATATGGTGGTAAGAGGCAGATGACCTGTTTGTCCCTTCCACAGGACCTGAAGGAGAAGAAAGAAAAAGTAGAGGAGAAAACTAGTCGGAAAGAGAGGAAGAAAGACGTGGTAGAGGTACAGAGGGGAAGAGAGGGTGGTGAGCCATGATGAGACCTTAACATCCCTGGGGGTCTATTGCCTGAGGTCCCTGTCCCTCCCCCTCCCCCTCCTCCCAGGGACTAATCTATTGGGTACATGCCCAAACCAACATGATCTTGTTTTCTGGTACTCATAGGAGGAGGAGAATGGAGCAGAAGAGGAGGAGGAGGAAACTGCAGAGGATGGAGAAGATGATGATGAGGGTGAAGAGGAAGGTGAGATCAAAGAGTGTCAGGGATGATGGGGAACTATGGAAGTAGAATCAAGTCAGAGTTGAAGAACTGAAGCAAGGGTCAGGGGCTACTTCCAGTGGTCTCTGGAGATGACCTTTGCCCCTCCACAGTGACCAATTTCTGGCTTCACAGATGAGGAAGAGGAGGAAGATGATGATGAAGGGCCCGCACTGAAGAGAGCTGCTGAGGATGAGGTTGGGGCTGGGTCCAGGGTTTGGAGGGGATGTCAGGGGAATGACAGCTCCTGGGGCCCCTTTCAAGTCTGAACCGAGATCCTCCGGAGTAGGGGGCAGAGCTGGGATGAGAAGGGGATCCTGCTTCTGTTTTGCACTCATGTAGATCCTCTTTCCCTCTGCAGGATGAAGCCGATCCCAAAAGGCAGAAGACAGAAAATGGGGCATCGGTGTGAGCCTCAGCCATCTGGGCTGAGGGTGGGGAGGACCCCCTGGGGCCTGGAAGTGAGATGGGGAGGGATAAGTGCAGCGGCCTTTCACCTGGCTCCCTGTTCTGGATTCCTCCCCGGAGCTGTCCCCCTCCTATTCTCCCCAGCCTTCTTACTGTTCCCTCTCCAGATATCCCAATTTTTACCTCTCTATTCCTTCACCTCCTGAACTTTCCCTATCCCTGAGCTCCCCAGCTGCTCCCCAGACTACTCTTCTTTTCCATATCCTCATATCTCCTCTCATCCCCCAGTTGATTCTTCAAAATCCAGTTCTACCCCTTTACACATTCCTAGATTTCCCCTTCTGCCTTCTCTCCCACTCTCCCTGCCTGATCCCTGGATCTCCCTCAGATTCCCCACCCCCTCACAGCACCAGGCTGGGGTTGGGGCTGAGCCCCACACCTGCCCCCTCTCCCCTTTATCCTTTTTGTATAATTTAATAAAGAAATGGTCGCGCTTCTGTTTTTAACCTGCCTCCTGCTTCCCCCGGCTGACCAGTGTGTGTGTGTGTGTGTGTGTGTGTGTGTGTGTGTGTGAGAACAAAGGTACAATTTCAGTCTTTTGGGAATCTTCCTCTCTTCAGGGAATAACGAAATAACAATCCTCTTTTCCCTAATTCTCTCCCACCCGGCTGAGAGCTATCCCTATACTCAAAGAACTTGGGGCCCACCAAACACAGACGCTGGATAGCCACATTAGCTTTATAGAAAATCTTTCTGTACATCACTGTCCACCAAATTTCCCATCCTTTCTTCCTCCACCTCCTCTTCATTCTCTGAGAGGAAGTAGATCTGAAGATGTCTGGGGTGTGCCCTCTACCCTCCCATGCCTTTTCCTCCTCTCCTTTCCTGCTTCCCTCACACACTTGCACACACATTGGCATATACATTCACAAAGACATAATGCTGAATGGAGCATAAAGCTATTGAGATTGTGGCAATTTTGCTGACCCAGGCAAATACAAAAAGGCTTAAGACAGGAAGCTGTAAGGGAAGAGGGGAGTAGCATGCTTATTGCTACTGGGAAAAGGGGTGTGGGCAAGGATGAGAGCTGCACTCTGGGATCCCTAAAGTTTAGGGACCTAATCTTGACTGCCCAAAGTTTTGTTGTCTTCCTCTTGAGCTATTCCATCTCCCTAGAGATTGTGGTGAGGTGGAAAGATCCCTGCACTCAGAGTCCTAGCTCTTACTTGCCTTCCAAAGCCTTGGTTTGCTCATGGGTGAAATGAGGGTAATAATACTTGCATCTTGAGCTTATTGAGAAAACAGATGAAGTAACGTGTATAAAGTCCTTTGTAAACAGAAACCTCTACATATGTGAATTACTATTTTATTATTAAAATTAATTATTAATATAATTTTCTCTAATAGAAAAAGGGAAGATTCCCCAAACTATGTTCATGCCCCTTCTGGGCTGGGGTGTGTGTGTGTGTGTGTGTGTGTGTGTGTGTGTGTGTGTGTGTGTGTGTGTGTGTATGTGCACACTCTTGAACTGGAGAGCATGCCTTTGGGTCTCTCTCGAATTGAGAGAGGAGAATAGAAAAAACAATTGGAAAGGCTTCTTCCTTCCTTATTTTATTATTATTATTTCTTTTGGTTGGGCAATAGGGGTTAAGTGACTTGCCCACAGTCACACAGCTAATAAGTGTTATGTGTGTCTGAGACTGGATTTGAACTCAGGTCCTCTTGAATCTAGGGCGGGTGCTCTATCCACTGCACCACCTAGCTGTCCCCCTTCCTTCCTTTTTAAATGCCTCTTCTTTCTCTCCTTTGAAATCGATCTTTTCTTGTCTATATCTCTTTCTCTTAGTGTTTTTCTCTGCACCTGTGTCTCACCATCTTTCTGTCTCATGCCAAGTCTTCTTTCTCCTCTCCTTGGTTCAAGACCAGCTTGGGTTAAAACCTGAGGTATTAGGAGGGGTGGCTTAAGTGGCATTTTTGACTCAATGGGCTTCATCTTTCTATTCAAAGTCTTTCATTACTTCACTGGCCTCTACTAGGTATTAACCAGAGCATCACATTTGGAGGCAGAGGATATGGGTTCAAATTCCAACTGCTACTTGCTGCTACTTATCTTGGGCAAGGCACTTTAATTCTCTGCGCTTCAGTTTCCTCATCTATAAAATAGAAAAGTTAAACCATGCAATTTCTTAAGATCCTTACCAGTTCTAAATACTGTGATCTTAGCAGTAGAACAAGTGTGCAGGGGCGGGCTTTCATTTGTACCTCTATCTTCCTCTGGGGTGCAGGGCTGCCTCCCAATTTGCCCTATTCCCTGGGACCGTGGGGACTGTGGGGAGAATTAAGTCTTGGAGAAATCCTAGGTAGGGAGAGGGGTGATAGAAATAGAAGAATAGGCAAAAGGTGTGAAGAAAAGGAATGTTAACCAAGGAAGGGTCTTTAGGTGGGAGTGAATCAGTCATTCAATTCATCAGCAAGTATTAAGCACCTACTATGTGTCAGGCTTTTTGCTAGGCACTGGAGATATATATGTACAAAGAATGAAACAATCCCTCCTCTAAAGGAGGTTACATTCTAATAGGGAAAAGTGTAGACGAAGGGCAGGTTTGGAATGCCTTTGGGTGGGGGAGTGAAGGGCAGAGAGAACCTTGGGTTAGGGAGGGAGAAGAACCCAGGACAGAAAGAAGTAAACAAGGGGAACATAACAGTAGGGGCGGGGATTGGTGCTGCTGGGAATCAGCCCCCTCACACTTTCCGATGTGAATCGAAAACAGTGAGCCCCAGAGGTGGAAGGAGGGGGGCAATAGAGGGGGGAAGTGGGGACCGTGGGGGAGAAAGAGGAGGAGGTATCATTGCTACTGGGAAGACAGGACATCAGAGAAGTACTCCACTCCAGCACTAGCCTCTCCCTTTTGTTCTTTGGCCTTTATTCCTTCAGCCCTCTCTGAATTCTGCTCACCTGATTTCTCTCTCCATTCCTCCTGTCCTCTTACTTCCTGCTTTCTACCTCCATATCCTAGCACCTAGTCTCTGGCTCTATCTTTCTCCTGGCATCCTCCCTACACTTCCCTCCCATCATCTCTAGCCTGTGCTTCCTTGGAGGGCCTATTCAGGCCTCCTTGGAGGAGAGATGCTGTGGGAGGTGAGATCCCTAGCCCAACTGCTGCTACTGTTGCTGGTTGCCAGAGGTAAGCCGTGGAGAGGGGCTGGTTTCTGTGTACCTGCAATTGGGTGGATGGGATTCTCTATAAGATTCCTTGGAGATTGCCACATCTTTGAGTGGGCTGTCTTAAGAGTTTTCCTCAGGTAGATTGTGTAACTCTAAGCCACTCTCCCCAGTTTCTACCTCATTTTCCCCAGCTTCTCTCCTTCTCCAGCAGGGACTCAAATACCCAGGAAAGAAGTCCAGGTGGTATGGGCTAAAGAGGGTTTCCCTGTTCAGCTCCCCTGCATCCTCTCAAGCATCCACCAAAACCTCTCTAGGAGGCACAGTTTTCTTTGGAGGGTGACTGTCACCTGGCAGCGCTGGCAGGACAGGTATGGACCCCAAACTCAGAAACCCAAATGTCTAATTCAATTCAAACTGTAGTGATACCTCTTTCCCCCTCAAATCACACCTTTCACACCTGTCCACCAGTTTATTCCTGTTTCCAGGCCCTTTGTTCTATTCCCCAAACTTCCCTATCACCTAGAACCCCCTCATCTTCTCCCTCTTAACTCTTCACCCTGGGCTTGCCTGTTTTTAATCCATCCCATCCCACCCTGAGATGTTCTAGGTTGCCTAGCCTGCATTCTACTACTCCCTGTCTCCTCAAGAAATAGGCCTCTGCCATTCCAGCATCCTATGGGATGCTTTCTGTTCAATGACAATCCAATTACTGCTCTTAGGGTATCCTTGCTCCCTATCACTCCATACTGTAATGCAGAGAACTAGAATGGGTGTGTGGCAGTTGTGACATTTCCCTTTTGCATTTTAATTTTCTCATCTATGAAATGAGAGGAAAGGACTCAATTATCTTCAAGGGATCCCAGCTCTGAGCTTTTGTGAGTTCTTCTTTCTCTCTCTTCCTTTTCTGTCCCATCAACCCCAAGCCTCATCTTTGTCTCTACAATTTAGGTGTCATTTCTCCTCTCTCCTACCAGACAATTTATCTCTTTCTTCCTTGCTCCTCTCTCTTTTTCCCCTTCCACAGGACTCCCCAAGCCAGCTGGTACACAGTGTTCAGGGTGGGGCCAGGTGGTTTGCGGAGTGTTAGGCTTCCCCCACAGCCCAGGCTGCAACTAGGAGGGCTCAGCCTCCACCAGGGAGATTTCTCACTATGGCTGCGCCCAGCCTGGCTCACAGATGCTGGGGAGTACCGAGCCCGGGTCCACTTTGAGAATGGTGATTTGAGATGTCACCTCTGCCTCCGCTTTGGCCAAGCCTCTGGTACGTAAGGGGGAGGCAATGAATGAGCCGGGGAAGCTGGGGCCAGGAAAAGAGTCATGAGGAGGTGACAACCTCAATTTCCTCACCTTAAAATCGGACCAGATGATTTCCCAAGGCTAACTAACTTGAAATTCAACAGAGCCTACGAGAAGCCTTCTCTCTGTTAGCATCACCTCTCCCCACCCCCACTCCACTAACCTTGCAACCACATCATAGCCCCAAAAAAAAAATTCTGGGGGAGAGGAAGAAGAGGGTGGGGTCAGGGGTGAGCTAAATTAAGAGAGGAGTGGTGGAGACATTGTATCATTATCCTCTTCCTACTCATAGTGAGCATGAGGGATTTGACTCCTCATCCGAAATGAGGGACAAGAATGTGATTCATTCATCCTTTGTAGTAGGAGACAAAGGACAGGAGGATCCTATGGGTGGGCTTGGAGAGTGGGGTGGGTAAGAAATATGATTTAATCCATTCACCAGATACTAATTAAACACCTGCTACGTGCAAGGACACAGTGCTAGGTACTGGCTGGGTGGTTCAGAGTATGAGAGACTAGGGCTTTGCTATCAAGGAATTTACAATGTAATTGTGGAAATATACTGAGAGTGATGTCTTTTCTCCCTCCTGGTAGTGACTGCCAGCCCTCCTGGGCCCATTATAACCTCAGGGCTGGTCCTTCTGAACTGTTCTTTCAACCGTCCAGACCTCCCGGAAGCTGTGCTCTGGTCTCGAGGCCGGGTACCCATAATCCCATCTTCCCGGCATTTGCCAGTTGGGAGTCTACTCTTCTTGTCCCACGTCACTCTCTCAGATGCTGGGCCTTGGGACTGTCACGTTATCTACCCAGATGGATTCAATGTCTCCATTACCCACCACCTCACTGTCCTGGGTAACTTACAGCCTCCTTTTCCCTCTTCAGAATTCCTGTTCCCTTTTCCCACTATAACCTTCCTTTTTCTTTTATTCTCTACCTCCTCCGTTATACCTATTGGTGACAAAACCAGCTTCTCCCACTCCCTGCACTCATCCCTCTAGACTTATTTGCATCATCCTTTCCTGGTCTTAGCAAACCCCTTCCTGGCTCACCTCACTAGGCTCTTCCTCCATCAGCCTTCTCCTTTGTAATTATGATCCCCTGAGTCCTACTCCTCTGGCAAATGTTTCCATCCTTTTCTGCACCCAATAAGAAGCCAGAACTGGTTGAGGACTCCCAGAAGCTTCTCCTTGGAGCCTTCAGCTCCTCCTACTTCCTGCTCCATTTTTCTCTCTCCTTTTTATTACCAGCCCAGCTGCCAGGATTCTCAGTCCTGGCACCCCCTCTATACTCACTAGATCCTCTCTGGAGGTATGAAGTCTTTTTCTTCCATGACTCCTGACTAGGAGAGCCTTTTCTCTCTTCTCATTCCCTCCAACTCTCTTCTGCAAGACCAGCCTTTTTATTTATATATATATAGATATATATCTATACCTCCCCATGCACCCTCCCCCTGCGTCTTTATACTGCCTTTCCTACAACCCTGTTGTGGGCCTTTGAACCTGATTCTGCCCTCTTTCTAGGTCTGGAGCCCCTAACCCAGAAGACGGTCTATGTGGGAGAAGGATCAAAGGTGGAGCTCCCCTGCCATCTCAGCCCTGCTCTAGGAACTATGCCAGGGCTAATTGCCCAGTGGACCTTACCTTGGGGCAGAGGCAGCTGCCTTGTGTCCGGAGATGACAAAAGCAGCTTTGCCCTGAGGCTGGACCATGTGAGCAGAGCCCAAGCAGGGGCCTACAACTGCAGCCTCAGTTTTCAAGGGCATCAGCTCAGTGCAGTGGTCACCTTAGCTGTCATTACAGGTCAGAGAACAGGGAAGAAGTCCAGGCTGGGTATGGTTCTAGAAGTTAGAGAAGGAAGGGCAGTGGACAGGAGAGTCAATAATAAACAAATTTAATAATAAATCCTCACAAAAATTCGGGCTGCTGGGCAGTGTTCAGAGGCTCAGGTCACTTCTGCTTACTTCCCCACCCCTTATAAAGTACAGAAAGTGCTAGCTGCTCCATAGACCTTTGGAAAAAACCTTTTTTTGCATGCTCTCAGTCTTTGGCTAAGGAAGAGAAACGGGCTTTAAGAATTTCTAGAAGTGAGACAAGGAGGTTGCAAGGAAATAATTGTAAGGGGTAGTAGTAAAGGCTAGACTCATTTACTGAGGGAGGTGGAATATATTCTGTAAACCTTCTCTTTATGAGGATCTAGGCTAGGATGAACTATCTGTAAAAGAATGACAACTTTCTATATTGATCCAGTGATCAAAGATCACAGTACTCCACAATCTCCATTCCAGCAAGTATTTACGTGCTAAGTTCGGGGGAATACTACTAATTAATAAAAGAAAGAAAGAAAGAAAGAAAAGAAAGAAAGAAAGAAAGAAAGAAAGAAAGAAAGAAAGAAAGAAAGCAAAAACCCTAGAATCACTTGAATTTTTTCCTATGTTAAATATTCCTGGAGCTGACCACCCCTTAGTAGCTTGAATACCTTCTGTACTTTTAGCCCCCTCCTACCTTGCCTCCTTTATTAATCTTTGTTTGTTCTACATATCTGGCCTTCCCTTGACCTAGGCCTAGCTGGAACCTCTGTTGAGATTTGAGGAAAGGATAGAGGGAGGAAGGAACAATCATTTATTCAGCACCAGTCACTGTGCTACTAATTGTTTTATAAATATTATCTCATTTAATTTTCACAACAACCCTGGGGGCTAGGTGCTATTATTGTCTCCCTTTTACTGACAAAGCTGAGGTAGATGGTGGTTAAGTGACTTGCCAAAGGTCACATAGCTAGTAAGTATCTGAGGCTGGATTTGAATTCAGGTCTTCCCACCTCCAGGCCCAGCACTTAGCTAGCGGCCTCAGTGCAATAGTCACCTTGAAGTGTTTATTTACAGAAGAGGGGTTTTTATTTATAGAAAAAGAGTAAGCTTTAAGGCAAGGAATGTTAAAACAATCCGGGCACTAGAAAGCTATCTGACCAGTGACAATTGGCAGGCCCTAAAATTCCTGCTTCCAGACTATTGATCCTGAAATTCCTTCAGGTTGGCCCAGGAGACCGGACTACCATTTTTGGCCTGCAGAGTTGCTCAGACTTGTCCTTTCTCCTAAGTTGCTCCAAGAGGACTTGGCTCCACTCTACTTTTCCAGGGAAGAATCGCTGATAACTGCCCTCTGCCCTTGTGATTATACACTATAATTGCACATTGGCAGGAATTTCCTTCATTCATCCATGTATTTGTTCATTCATTCATTCATTCATTCATTCATTCATTCATTCATTTATTTGCAAGAGTAGCAGAAATTATTATGTAAGGATGGTTATACTTTATAGATGTCACTCTAATGTCCACAAAAGAACCCCTCCTTTTTTTTTTTACAGTGTTTTTAGCCAAAGTTTGACAAGAAATAAACATTCATTGGTTGAAGCACTGTGCCATGGGGGACATCAAAAAGTATTAGATAGTCTCTGCTCTCGAAGAGGTTGAATTCTCTTTGAAGAGATGACATATGTACTGATTAGATACTTTAATACTTAGAGGATATATAATTTGTTAATGGGAGTGTTCCTGTCACTTCCAGTGCTTGCATACACCCTTAATCTTAGTAGATGATCTTTGATAATGACTGTGATTGACAATGAACATCTCCAAATGTTATTGGGCTGGTCCTTGAGCAACAGACAGGTCATTACAAAGCCACGCTCTAAACTCTGCTTGTATGGTCTTCAAGAACTCAAGAGTATCTCCATGCCATGATCAGTAGGAGTTTAGCATAAAAATATTTGTTGATTGAAAACTAACAATACAAGGTATGATGAGTTATTTCTAGCCATGATGTCTCTTCTGATCTTCAGTCTGGTATCACCGGCTGCCTATTGGATACATCCTAGATGTCTCGTTACTAACTTCAAACGCAGTATGCCTAAAAATAGACTCATCTTTTTCCCCAAACCAGTTCCCCACCTAGCCTTCCCTATTTCTGAAATGCATCACTATTTTGTCTCATCCAGGCTCAAACCTTCCTCTTTCCCATCTGATCCTTGGGGTGTATAGGATAGAGAGTAGTGAGATTGGGAGAACATGGCAGGGGAATGAGAAGAGAATGAGGTCAGGGTCCCCAAATGATCCTTCTCCCAATTTCTCACAGTGACTGCTAAATCCTTTGGATCTTCAAGTTCCAGAAAAGGGCTGCTTTGTGAGGTGACCCCAACGTTGAGGCAAGAGCACTTCCTGTGGACCACCTTGGATAATCAGACTCTGGAAAACCCACCAGGGCCCTGGTTGGAGCTGGGAGATGAGGAGCTACAGGTCGAGCAGTGGCAGTGCCGAGTATATCAAGGGACACAACAATGTGGAGCTGTAGTTTACAACCTGGGGCTTCAGGGCACAGGTCTGAGACCCCAAATCCCATGGTATCCCAACCTCAGCCTACAAATCCTGACCCCCTCTTCTGGGTTCCCTGAACCTTGCTCCTTCCCCAAATTCTGTTCTCCATTTTGCTTCTCCTGGTCCATCCCTCCTTCAACTACCACAGCCTTGTTCTTCTCTTTCCCTTCTACCTTGTCTCATAGGTGCCCAGCTCTCTGGGAGGAACCCAAAAGTCCTGAAAGGAGGGAAATATCTCCCTCTTCTCGTCAGCCTTGGCATTTTACTGCTTCTCTTTTCCGGGGTAGGAGCTGCTGTGTTTCGCTTACGACAAAGCAAGGTAAACTCTGGAATATGGTCTTACCTCCTGGAAAGTAGATCCACAGTCCACAGGACCATCCCCAAGATTCCCCCTCCTAAGAGAACCCTCCTCACAGAGATCCTCTCCAAAAACCTTTTCCCTTCCCCGAAGATTACACACCCTGCCCCAGGCCCTACTCCCTATCTGCCTGGGGAGGAAGTGCATTGGGAAAGCTGCCCCTGGGCTTCAGAAGGGAAGAGCTGGGGAGGAATAAGAAGGATGAGAAGGGGCTAATTCTGTCCAATGAGGAGTGTTGAAGTCAGTATCCCTCGTTTTCCCTACAAGCTGCCTGGGAGTTTTTCTGCCCTGGAAGATGCAGCTCAGAGGCCTCAGAGACAAAACAAGACAGAAGAAATGGAGCCAGAGAGCCAGTGTCAGAGTTAGAGCCTGCAACATTGGCAGGAGTGGTCCTGACATAAAGATGGGACAGTCCTCTGAAAAGCAGCTTCTTCCTTCCTCCAGATTTGCCTTTCCACACCAAGTAAATGCCACTTTCTCAGCAGGATGGCCTGTGGTTCCTCCATAGCCTATGCCTCCTCTATGTTTTTGCTTCCCTGGGAGACCCCCATGACCCACCTCTCCCAGGGCCTACCTGGCTCCTCATCAGCTTAGTTTGGTTTCTGTAGTACTTGTAAAGTTTTACAAAGCACTTTCTCCCCAACTCTGTGAGATGGATGGTGCAAATATGATGTGGTCTCCATTTTACATAGGAGGCTCAGAAAAATTAAGTGATTTACCTTTGGTCTTCCTCTCTCTCCATTTGTCTATTTCTGCCTCTGTCTTCTTCTTCTTCTTCTTCTTCTTCTTCTTCTTCTTCTTCTTCTTCTTCTTCTTTTTTTAGGCAATTGGGGTTAAGTGACTTGCCCAGGGTCACACAGCTAGTAAGTGTCAAGTGTTTGGTCTGAGGCCGGATTTGAGCTCAGGTCCTCCTGACTTCAGGGCCAGTGCTCCATCCATTGCATCACCTAGCTGCCCCTCTGCCTCTGTCTTCTTTCGTTTATCTGTCACTGTCTCTTCCTCTAATCTTGGCTCAGCCTTTTTTCTGAGGCTCCAAACAAGTCCCTAGTCCAACCCCTTCCACTTTCTTCCTAAACCCATGCCTCCCTAGTTTAAAACACTTTTGAATATATATTTTCTCTTTTTTTATTATGAACTTGACAAAAATAAAAATAAATAAACATGTCTTCATACAAAGAGTGGAAAAAAGAGGGTTGTATATAAAACTATGAATCTCTATCATGTCTGACTTAACAAATATATGGGGCAAGTAGATGTCACAGTGGATAGAGTGCAGGGCCTGCAGTCAGGAAGACTCATCTTCTTGAGTTCAAATTTGGCCTCAAATACTTACTAGTTGTGTAACCCAGGACAAGTCACTTAACTTTGCCTCAGTTTCCTTATCTGTAAAATGAGCTGGAGAAGGAAATGGCAAACCACTCTAGTATCTTTGCTAAGGAAACCCCAGATTTGGACAGGCCTGAAATGACTAAATCACAGGTATATTAAATTTACCACCCTGGTACCAACACTTCCCCTGCTTGTCTGTTAACCATTCAGAACCTGCTTTCTTTTGGGTGTTTTTAGTTTCATTGATGCTCTTTTTCTCCTTTTTAAGATTAAAAAAAATGACTATACATCTATATGCATTCTGTTATTTACATAGGGCTATCCAGTTTACAAAGTGTTGAGATACATTTTCTTTTTTTTTTCTTTTTCTTTTTGTGAGGCAATCAGGGTTAAGTGACTTGCCCAGGGACACACAACTAGTGAGTATCATGTGTCTGAGACTGGCTTTGAACTCAGGTCCCCCTGACTCCAGGACCAGTGCTCTCTCCATGAAATACACTTTCATTTCACTCCCAATAACCTTCGGGTGACATCTGATAGGTATTGCCCCCAATTTTACTTTTTTGCAGATAAGGAAATAGGCTGAGAGATTAAGTGATTTGCCCATGGTCACACGGCTACTCGGCGCCTGAGACTGGCTATCAAATTAGTTCTCTTGTGCTCCCAAGTCAAGTGCTTTTATCTTAATTTAAAAAATATTTTACCAGTACCTTTTTTTAAAGCAACATAGTCACATCCTCCCACATGAATTCTCCCCTATAAGAAAGAAAAACCAACTGACTACCTCTGACAATGTTCCTTACCTGTACCCCACTACCTCTCTCCCAAGGGAAAAGAAACATCTCATCACTGGTCTCCAGTCTTCTTCCTGCTTCACCACCCTGCCTTTCTGTGCTTTCCTTCTATTCCCTACTCTTCACTTCCCAAATGCAGTGTCTGCCCACCGTGTCCCCTCTGCGTTCATCACCTGTCTTACGTTCCTAATTGCAGTATTGGCCCAGGGTCTCCCCTCCCCCACCTACAATACACCAAATACACATCCCGCACCAGGGTGAGGGAGCACCAGAAGAGATGTTGGTCCTGTGGCTTTCGAGGAGGACACCTCCTTACTCTCCCTGAACACCCTACCCCCCCATCCATTGTCCCAGGCATGAGAACGTACTGCCACCTTGAGGCCAATCCATGAAGTGCAGACTAAAGGGAGGCCAGGGTTCACCACAAGAGATAAAAGGCACAGTGCAATACACGATGAAATCCAGCACACTTTTCTAGCGTGCCCACGATGTATAGACTACCCAGCACACTACACGCACCCCTGCAGTGCCCCTTTGGACGGGGTGTGCAATGCCGCTCATCTTTTAATAGGCATTCCCTAGGAATTTGGATCTGTGCCCATGGGGAAGGGAATAGATCAATGAATACAAAAAGAGACAGAGTCCCTGACCTTGGAGAGGTTATAATCTGTCAAACAAGGTGGCTGCTACAGGTAATGTTTACACGATAGGCACAAGCCCACCAGTAGACAGTTTAGCACAAGAATCACTGTGTGGAGGGCTGATACAACTCTGGCTACTTACTGCATGAAGCGGTCACAGAACATACGCTTTACATGTGTATCACATTATGTCTTATCATACTAAGGATTGCATGTTCATGCACATGCAATCCTGCAAACACAGCATCATCAGCAGGGGTCAGGAACATTATCCAACCAACACCAGTTTGCACACAACACAACATACAGACCCTCTCTCCACCTGTGTCTCTTCTTTTGCCCGTATCTGTTTGGCATATCTATACTTCAACTAGCAATGTGTGCAGAGCCCTGGACTTTGGCTACAGTGGAGAAGCCAAACTCTGCCAGGGAACTTTGGCCCTTTGCAGGGGAAAACAAATTCAAGGCCTCTATAAACACACAAAGTCACGTGGGCTGCATATGCCCTGGCTGTAGCGCCTAATCAAAGGAGATAATAATTATAAATCGCTTATCGTGTGCCTAGCATATAGTAAGTGCTTAATAAATGCATCCTTCCTAATCTCTCATATTTATCCAGTGCTTTTGGAGGTCCCTTAAGTGCTTTCTTCACTGTGCCATGTGAGGTAGGCAGGATAAGTATTAAATCCCTAATTTACAGATGAGGTTACTGTGGATCAGAAGTAAAGGATTTCTCATAATCACACACTTAATAAGTCTCAGAAAAGGAATTTGAATCCAAATCTCTTGACTTCAGGTTTATCAAGTACATCATTTTGTGAATGTATATGCATTTCCAAAGTCTTGGATCTTAGTGCAAAGTGGTACCAGGATAAGAAAGTCATAAATAAAGCCCTGGAGCTAAATCTGGGAAAGGTTGGTCCATCCTTGGGGAGACAGAGTGGTCCAGGAGGTATGGCAAAGACATGAATATGTTTGCTATATCCAGAACCCTAAGCAATATATGGTTCCTCTTGAAAAAAATTGTGTGGGTGGTGGGATCTGTGACCCAGAGCACACAGGTAGTGGAATACTCCCTAATGAAGTATCCTAGTGAAAAAAGTAGCAATCAAACCTTGTCCCCTTAAGCAGGGAGCACATTCTCCCACAAATACATTATCAATGCAGCGGCATATGCAGGGAACTTACATCTAGGAAATAGGGCATGAGGACTGAAGGCAAACCCATCAAGCCTCTGAAATTGTGGGATTAATAATGCCCTCTGGTGATATCATTGTGCTGCTCCCATCAGGTCCTTACCAGGTGGTGGCCAGGAAGCATGCAATCGCCACTTGACATGTAATCTCTGATGGAAAAAAAACCCCATAAAAATACAATTGCAACCTCAAAACAACCACCACCACCACCAAAATAGGGAACAAGATCAAGTAAAACCCTGAAACCCAAATAATTTATAGTTAGTTTAAAAACATAATAGGTTGAAGGTATTTTCGCAATCCTTCTCATCAACTTGGGGAGTGTGAGGACACCAGAAAGTTCCCATGGGGAAAATACAATCGTGAGGCACCAGGAAGTTATGAGATTCATGCACTGCCCTACAAATCTCAAGGTTCCCTGTTTCCTTTTCTTTTGTCCTTAAAAAAAAAATCTCTCCACCCTTCAGAGTGGGGCTGGGATGTCTTGTCTGCTATTCTGCAACAGTCGACCTTGAGAGAATCAGATTCCTTGGTTACCATTTGAAAGGGAGAGAGTGGGAAACTGTGACTGAGCTACCATTATAGGGTCATAGATTAGAGCTGAAAGAGACCTTACCAGGCCATGAAGTCCAACTCCCTCATTTTTCACATCTGGAAACTGAGGTACAGTGAAACTTAAGTGACTTGCCTTCGGTCAAACAGTTAGACAGTGTCTAGAGTAGTATTTGAACCCAGATCTTCCTGACTCCAAGTCCAGTGTCCTAATTATTATATCATACTCCTTTTTCATGGGATAAAGTTTGGATTCAGTCAAAGAGCCACACACTTGAGGATCTAGAAGGCCACATGTGGCCTCGAGGCCACAGGTTCCCCACCCCTGGAATAGAGTGTTGGACGGGGCAGACTGCTATGGCTTACATTTCAATCTGGAGTGAACAGAAGCCAGTGGGGAAAAGCCAAGATCAGTCCTAGCAGAGGCAATATAGACCTAGGAGCAGAAAAAAAAAACAGTGACCTAAGAGCAATATAGACCTAGGGACCAGAGTGAAAAGAGGCTAGCTATCACAGATTCTGGTGGAGTGGTTTTTCCTGTGCATTCCCTTGTTTGTAGCCCAGAACTGGGATCCAGTTACAGATACCAGTGGCCACCCCTCCCCCTTATTCCCTTGCCACAATCTTCAGAGGAGGGCAGTTCTGGATTTATCTGGATGTATCCATGGAATAGAGAAGGTAATCAGGAGGAATTTGGTGAGAGGGTTGCACAGAGGGTTACTTTTCATTTTTGCAATATTAAAAAAAATGTGTCCACAGTAGGTTGAATACCTGTATTTGTTAATGTGGGGGCACTGATGGACTCAGTTTAATCTTCTCTAGGAGAAAATTGTTCGGGTCAGCTAGGTAGCACAGTGGATAGAGAACTGGCCCTGGATTCAGGAGGACCTCAGTTCAAATCCAGCCTCAGACACATAACACTTACTTAGCTGTGTGACCCTGGCAAGTCACTTAGCCCCATTGCCTAGCCAAAAAAAGAGAGAGAAAATTGTGGGAGGAGTAGGAAAAGAGAGGACTTGAGCTGAACAAGAAGGGAATATTTAGGTGATGTGAAAGAGTTTAGGCTAGTAAAGAAAGTGAGAGCTTGAATTTGGGGAGGAAAAATTGGGGGAAATGAGGAAAATTTTAAAAAAGATTCATCTCTAGGCCCAGATATTGGTTCAGGTTCTACTTCTGGGTTGAAAAAAGAACAAGATGGAGGACAATTAAAGAGGATATAAGGGATTAAGGAGGATTAAAAAGA